AGAGTCACAGCGCCTCTCTTTCACGGTCCTATCGGGGGCATCCTCCACCGTCTGGAACATGGCCACAGCCCTGAGAGTAATCACACGAGGCCTCCAAGAGGTGGGCCTAGAACCACCCACCTCATGCATCTCCCTCTCGTGCTCGTGTGGTGAACACAGGTGGTAGACGGTTACTGTGTGCCAGGCCCTGGGTTAATGGAAAGGCAAGGCTCCCTGCCCGCAAGGACTGTGGTAGGAGAGCATAGCAAGTGTCCTCTAAAGGCCTGTCACCTAAAATGAATACCTTGCTTTTATGAACAAGTCTAGCAAGACTTAGTTTTCTTTGCTTTTCCAGCCAACAGCCAGTTAGCAGTAGTAAATAAAGGGTATATTGGGGGTAGCCGTAGACACAGAAATGACAGCCGGGAATGGAGGGGGAAGACAAAGAGCCATAGGAAGGAGACCCCAGAATTAGAATTGGAATAGTCTGTGCAGGCCAGTTGGTGTAAAGCCGAGAGCACAGTGAATCTCTGCACCCCCTGAGGGCATCATTACCTAACACACTCCAGTAACTGAGGTTCCCAGTAATGACTCTAAATCATTCCAAAGAAATGGATGGTTACTGTGCTTAAGACAAAAACAGCTATAATATATATTTTTTGTTGTTTTTGATTTTACTTTTATTTTTAAGATTTCCAGCTTAACTATCCAAATGGTTAAAATGTGTTTCTGCTTAGGAACAAACCAGTTACCTCGGACATTTACTTATGTGGAAGGACTTATTCCTCAGGAAAACCACACATATGGAACACAATTCAGGTTTAGTCATGTCATTGCCATCTGATTGGTGGCTCAGGCAGTAAAGAATCTGCCTAGAATGCAGGAGACCCAGGTTTGGTCCCTGGGCTGGAAAGATCTCCTGGAGAAGGGAATGGCTACCCACTCCAGTGTTCTTGCCTGGAGAATCCCATGGACAGAGGAGACTGGTGGGCTACAGTCCGTGGGGCTGCACAGAGGCGGACACGGCTGAGTGGCTAACACTTTCACTCTTCACAGTAAGAATGAGCAGTTGTCAGAGGACAGATAGGATACAGTCAACTACTCTGAAAATACACTGTGAACGAAATATACTCACTGGAAGAATGTAAGTTGTAGAAGCATTGCTCTAAATTTGTCTGTTTCCATCAGAGCTCTTGGGTGAGAACACATTGTCAGTGAGAAGTACTGATTTGAAAGGAATCTTTTTTCCTGAGCAGTAGGTCTCAACAGAGGGCTTAAAATAGTCAGTAAATCATGTTGTAAACAGGTGTGCCGCCGTTCAGGCTTTGTTTCCATTCACAGGGCACAGGCAGAGTAGATCCAGCGTGAGTCTTAAGGACCTTGGGGTTTTCAGAATGGCGAATGAGCGCTGGCTTCAGCTTTAAGTCACCAGCTACTCAGCCCCTGACGAGAGAGTCAGCCTGTCCTTGGAAGCTTTGAAGTGAGCTATTGACTTCTCCTCTCGAGCTACGGGAAGTCCTAGATGGCATCTTCTCCCAACAGAAGACTGTCTTGTCTACACTGAAACTTTGTTCTTTAGTGTAGCCACCTTCATGAATTACCTCAGCTGGGTCTTCTGGATAACGTGACGACGTAGCTTCCACGTCAGCACTTGCTGCTTCCCCTTGCACTTTTATGTTACGGAGATGGCTTCTTAACTTAGACTTCATGAACCAAACTCTACGAAGCTCAGACTTTTCTTCTGCAGCGGCCTCACCTCTCAGAGCCTTCACAGAAATGAAGAGAGATAAGGCCTTGCTCTGAATTAGGCTTTTGCTTGCAGGAATGTTATGGCGGGTTTGATCTTCCATCCAGAGCACTAAAACTTTCTCCACCTTGGCAGTGAGGCAGTTTCGCGTTTTTATCATTTGTGTGTTCACTAGAGTAGCACTTTTCATTTTCTTCAAGAACTTTTCCTTTGCATTCACAACTTGACTAAATTTCATGCAAGATGCCTAGCTTTCCGGTCTGTCTCAGCTTTCAAAATGCCTTCCTCACTAAGCTTAATCATTCTAGCTTTTGATTTAAAGTGAGAAGACATGTGACTCTTCCTTTCATTTGAACACTTAGAGTCCATTGGAGGCTAATTGATTGGCCTGACTTCAATATTATTGTATCTCAGGGAGAGTTAGAGAGAGGCAAACAGTGGCGTTGTGGAGCAGTCAGAACACCAGTGCGCTCACCATTTAAGTTTGCCGTCTTATATGGGGGGGTGTTCATTGCTGCCCTGAAACAATAAAATAGTCATATCAAAGATTTCTGATCTCAGATCACCATAGCAATAAAATAATAATGAAAAGGCTTGAAATGTCACGAAGATTACGAAAGTGTAGAGACATAGTGAGCGGATGCTGTTGGAAAAATGACACCAATAGACATGCTCAACACAGGGTTGCCACAGACGTTCAATTTGTAAAGAAATGTAGTATTTGCCTTTCTTATAGCGTAATAAAGTAAAGTGTATTTTTTTCGGTAACAACTATCCCAGAACCAGCAAACTTCTGTAAAGAGCCAGAGTAAATACTTGACGCTAATGAGTCTTTCCATCACAGCTACTCAGCCTTGCCATTATAATGCAGAACAGACATAGACCCTATAATATGTGTAATCAAATAGTGTGGCGGTGGCCCAATAAAGCCCTACTGGTTTAGAGCTTAGACAGCAATCGTGGGGGCCTGGGTGATAGGCATACAAATCAGTACGGCAACAGGAAAAACCAGGAGAACACGTGCATTTGGATGTTGTCAAAATGGTGAGCCTTGATCACCTTTTGAATCATAAGGAAATTTCAGCTTTTCGTTTGTTGGGTTTGGGTCATGCAGAGTTTAGAATTTTAGAATCTCCCTGCTGTGGGTCAGGTCCCTGCAGCCCCGGTTCTCAGTCTCCTGCTGTCCTTCGCTTTGGTGCTGCAGACGGTACCCCTGCATCTTCTGATGCCTCTAAGTTGTCCCTGGCAACACCGATTACCACTATCTTGTGAAGAGCACAAGGTTGCATTATTGGAAAGTTCTGGTTGAATGTGATAGTCACTCTGAATATTTGTTGAGTCAGTGTTCCCTTTTTTTTTTTTAATTTTTTTTTTTCCACTGTTCTGTTGGACAATCCACATTTAACTGCCTTTCAGCCATTAATTCTCTGCCAGCCTGGGAGGGGAGGCCCTGGCCTTATTCTTTCACTATTAGTCTGTGCAACTTTTGACTCTGGAATGTCTGTCACTTGAGTCAGAGTTACTGTTCTCCCCTCTCAGCTTTCTGGACACGTCCTTACTTTTCATGACAGTACTGTATTCGCTTCAGATCCTCTTTCTTCGCTGGGGGTGAGGGCAGTCGAGGAAGGAGGAAATTTGGGCAAAGGGCGAGGAGGACCAGTAGAGCCATCTCGAGCTCGCTCTTGTCCTTCAGGAAAACAGACAGAGCCAGCGCTGCCGTGAAGGGCTTTCCTCTGCTGTGAAGGGACTCGAGTTCTCTGCAGACGGAGGTGTCGCTTGCCTGCCTCGTAGACTGTGCTCTGCGGTGGTTTTCCCTCGGCTCCTCCGTCTGGCAGAGAACTGGAGGCCACCACGGCTTCTGAGAAACCTGGTGGGTGAAGTGACATGCCACAGAGTATAAGATAAAGAACCGGAGGAGGGGAGTCTGGACTTGCTGTCTTGCAGCACACGCCGCGGACAGATAGACTTCAGTTACCAAGTCTTGGTGATTTCATGGCCGTCTCCAGAGACTTGGCTGGAGCCTTGAGAGAGCGGTCACCTTGCTCAGCACATACTTCTGAAGGAATGGACGTCTTTCCTAGAGAGAGGACGTGCACACCGTCTATGATGTGTGCAGGGTCTTACGGTCCATAGTGCATGTAACAGGCACCTCCAGCTCCCTGGACCTTCACACCCACCCTGTCCCGAGGAGGGGCCTGGGGCTGGTGGTGGGGAAACACCTCTGGGCTCGCTGCCCAGCATTCCTACACTTTGCTCCGTTACCACAGGTAGAGCCTAACTCAGAGAGAGTCTCTCATCCCTGGAAAATTAACCATTTTGGCCAGAGGGCTAAAAAAAAAAAAAAAGCTTGGCTTGTTCCTAGAACATTCCCCGTGCTGCTGAGTGCTGTGCCTTTATTATCGGCTAATGCACTACAGTAAGTTAGAGCAGCTTAACCCTAGGCCTTCTGTCCTCCTACTCAAACCCAAAGAGCCTCAGCGTGAGCCTTGGGTCCATCCGCAGTGTAGAGGCAGCAGTGTTACTGATGAAGAGTTTCTCGGAGGGCCTGGTACTCCACCACCCACCCCTACCCCTTGTCTTGTAGGTCAAAATTTGAATGTATCTATTTATTAGTCCTGCCTGACATCTGGTGTGCTGTGTGTGCGCCTGCTGCTCTGGCTGACCTTGGGTGAAGTCTTTGCCTTTTTTTTTAATGTAGTTTTGGCTGTGCGGGCTCTCTGTAGCTGTGGCGAGCTGGGGCTACTCTCTAGTTGCGGTGCCCGGGTGTCCCACTGCAGTGGCCTCTCTTGTTGCAGAGCACAGGCTCTAAGGTACATGGGTTTCCGTAGTTGCGGCTCCTGGGCCCTAGAGTGTCGGCTCAGCATCTGCGGTCCACGGGCTTAGTTGCTCCGCAGCATGTGGGATCTTCCCAGACAAGGGGTCAAACCCGGGTCTCCCTCACTGGCAGGTGGGTTCTTTACCACTGGAACACCAGGGAAGCTCGGTGTTTGCCCTTTTCGAGCTCTCCCGCCTTTCTGTATCTGTCACGTGAAGGCTTTGGGCAAGGCGTCCCTGTCTCACAGAGGCTAACTTAGCTCTCAGGAGTAGGGACGAGAACTCAACGTTGGAAATGAACTGAATGTGTAGGCAGCTTTCCGATAAGAAGTTCACACCCAGATCCTCATGGCTCCCTTGGGAAAGGTAGCTTCGTCAAGTCTCCTAGATGACCAGACCACGCCGCCATTTCCGGATCCTTCTCTCTCTCTTCCAGATGCCAGTATGGACAGAATAGCTTATGATGCTTATCCCCACCCACCACTTCCGAGACATTGAGCGGAAGCCGGAGTACCTCCAGCCGGAGAAGTGCATCCCGCCTCCCCACTCCCGTCCCGCGGGAACGATGTGGTTCATCCGCGACGGCTGCGGCATCGCCTGTGCCATCGTCACCTGGTTTCTGGTCCTCTACGCGGAGTTCGTGGTCCTCTTCGTCATGCTGATCCCGTCCCGGGACTACGTGTACAGCGTCATCAACGGACTCGTGTTCAACCTGCTGGCCTTCCTGGCCCTGGCTTCCCACTGCCGGGCCATGCTGACGGACCCCGTGAGTATGTCTGGGCTCGTTTTCACCAGCCCGCACTCTCCTCCTCTGACCCGGGCATGGCTGCAGCCTGCATGTGCCCCCCTGAGCTTGGGAACGCGGAGAATAGGAGGGCCTGTTCTCTTTCCCACGGGGGTGGGGAAGTGGACTGGGGCCCCGCCAAGGGGACCCCGTCTGTGCCACGGCCTGTCTGGGTTGAATGATACTTTCTATACATGGGTGTCTGCATGAATGGAGCCTGCTGTGGGAGGGGTCTGGCCAGGGCAAGCCTCGCCTCTGGTTAGAAAGACATGGGGAGGGCCCCATGAGGCTGGGGCCGCATGATCCCAGCAGAAAGCACGCTGCCGCTTGGGTGGGATTGGGGCCTCCTAGTGAAGATAGGACTGATGCTCAGTGGAAATGAAATTTTAAAGCCCTACCGAGGCCCAGAAACCCGCATGGCAGTGGCCTTTACCTCGCTTGGACGAGGCTCGTCTTTTCCTGACAAGCTGGACAGGCCTGTTTCAGGCCGTGGCAGGCATCTCTCAGTGCATATCTGGGCAAAGCCGCGGTTTTCTGCCCAAGGACTTGGCTAAATATACCAGGCTGTGCAAGTGGCTACTATGTGTGGCCTGCCCTGGTATTAAAGCCTCCGTTCCCGCTCATTACTGTGTATGAGAAAAGCAGGAGAGTGCGCTACTTGATAAAGGCCTCCTGTGGCTTAGTTGTCTCAGTAGTGGGACGAGCGTGTTTACATTCAGAAAGGGAAAGCACTCCGCATGGCAGCGGCCCTGGCCACACAGATCTCGTTTCTTTCTGTGAGTCCCGGGGAAGGCACAGTGAAAGCGCTGGGTCCTGGACTAGTTCACTTCTTGAAGGGCTCCACTTCCTGCTGGTTCAGGGTGGGGGGCGGGGGTGGGGGGTGGGGGTGGATCGTTAATCCGTCCCTGGGGAGAGCTGCTTGCCCCTCGATCACAAGTCAGTGCCTGGCCCAGATGGCACTATGCCCGCACATGCGCCTGGGGAGATGGCACTCACTGGCAGGCAGGGGCCTGCGGACCCAGTGTTAGCACTGCTCATGGGCTTGCTGGAACAATTGTCACCTAAAGGGAATGAAGTATAAGGTTGTAAGTGCCCCAAACAGAAGGGTATGAGCGGTTTTCCCAGCAGCATCAACTTGACCATACTGGAAACAGCTTACGGGCTCATTCACAGATTTTCCTGATGCCCTTGCTATTGGGGACACAAGACTAAAAGACGTTATTAGTCTCAGCTTATAGTTCCGGTGTCTGCTGGGCCCCAGGCACACTTCCTTTCCTCACGGTGCCCTGACAGGTGAGGTCCACCCTGTGTGATGAAGGCTGCGACAGAAGGAAGCACGAGTGGGTGTGGAGGAGTGAAACTTCACCAGCCTGGGAAGGGGGTGGGGGGCTGCCTGGAGGAGGCGGCGCCCAGGCCAGCTCTGAGCAGAGCTGTGGACAAGGGCAGGGAAGGCGGAGGGCGCGGGGGCGTTCCCGGCACAGGGAGCGCAGAGCGCGCACAGAGACACCCGAGTGCTGGGGTGTGCTGGTCTGGAGTGGAGAGAACCCAGGAGGATGGGTTTGGGTTGGTCACGTGGCCAGAGTGCCAAAGAAGTGGGGTAGGAGTGGCATAATGGGGGCCCTCAAGAGCCCCTGAGGACTTGAAACACAGGAGTGATGAGCTCAGGTTGTCACTGTACAAGGATCACCCTGGCAGCAGTGAGGGGGTGCTGTGGGGTGGGGTCAAGTGAATGCCGGTGCGGGTTGGGTGCCTACCATATGCAGGGTCCTTCTAAGCAGCCAGCTCAGCTGTGAGCAAAGCAGACCGCGGTCCCTGCCCTCCCGCCCACCTCCCAGCCTCGGGTGTCGGGCAGTGAAGGACAAGCTAAGGAACAAAGAAATTCCAGGAAGCGAAAAGGGCTTTTAAAGATCCAGGGGCTCTGGTGGGTGGCTTTTCTGGAGGGAAGCAGGACCGTTTGGAGGAAGGTGATGTGAGAAGGGTCCCTGAGGCCTGAGTGACATGAAGCAGTGCTCAGAGGCCCAGAGACAGGAGCGTGGTCGGCACGTTTAGAAACAGGACTCACACCAGGGTGACCAGAGCGTGGTGAGTGGGGTGAGAGGGGCTGGCAGAGGCGGGAAGGGCTGCGGAAGCCAGGCTGGGTAGGGCCTGTGGGCCTCGTGAGAACCTTGGTCTCTCTCGTCAATTCAGTGAGAAGCCATCTGAGAGGCATGATGTGACCTGGTTTTGAAAAGGGTACTGCCTGGCTTGCGATGGGGGGAACTGAGGTGGAGCCGGGAGAAGCAGGAAGCTGAGAGCTATGGCAATGGGCCATGCAGGACATGGTTGCGGCTCAGACCAAGGTGGGAGCAGTGAGGTGGGGGGAAGAGAAGCTGTTGGACTCGGAATATGTTTGAAGCCGTTAATGGTCAGGTTTGCCCGCACATTAGAATCCCCTTGGGCAGCTTTTGAAAAGTACTGATGCTGTGGGCCCGCCCCCAGAGATTCTACTTTGATTGGTCTGGGGTGGGGCCCTGGGATTGGGGTGATTTAATGCTCCCACTCGTCCCTCCTATTCAGCTAAATCTGAGAACCGCCAGAGTGGCAGAAAGCCATGAGGGACCAGGGAGGGTGCCTTCCATAGTCTTGGCCAGAGCACCTGGGAGATCTGCTGGTGCCCCTTGTTGGATGGGAGAGCTGGGGGAGAACAGATTTTGGAGGAGAAAGCAAGCCTTCTGTTCTGGCCAAACTGCAGATCTATTACGTATAAGCAGGGGCACCAGGTGGGCAATAGGTAGCCAGGTCTGGGGCTGGTGGGGATTAGGGGTCAGACCCTAGAGTGTGCAGGGAAGTTACTGGCTTCTATGAATAGAAGGTGTTGGATGTCAGGCGGGAGGGAGAGGAGGCTTCCGCCCTGGCATTCCTGCTGCACTCACGTGCATGTGTTCTTTAACCCCTGCATGGTGCCCCCTCCAAGGTCTTCTTCAATCTGGCCCCTGGCAGTCAGATGCAGGAGAGAATGAGCCTCACTGGCATGTTGCTCGGCTTCCAACCCCAAACGCTTGAGAGCCGGAGTTGTCATATCCCAGACACCACCCAGCTTTTCAGAAGTGTGTCTTGCCGTTGGCCCCAAAGAAAACTGGGCAAGCAAGTATTAAAGCCTCGGTCAAATACGTACCTATAGCCGTAAGGGGAGCAACTCAAAGCATGTCCTGCGGACCTGCCCTGGCTCAGGCTCCTCATGCTGCCACCTGCCTGTCCCACTCCCAGCTGGTGACATCTCGTGTGAAACCCTGCATGCAGAAGAGAGACAGGTGGACTGCAGAGCCGCTGGGAACACCCCCACGCCAGGTTCCAAGGGATGGAGCTGGAGGCCCAGATCTCACCTTGGAAGTAGACAATAGGGGCTTATTAACACTGCAGGCAGAGTCTGGTTTTAGAAAGATATCACTTCAGGATTCTATGGAGTTTCCTATAGAGCTATATTGTTTTGTAGGTCAATTCACGCTGTGTATAATTTTTCAGAAAAGTGTATGCCCAGAGGTTATAAACAGTGTATCATAATGTATATATTGTATATTGGTCAGAAAAACTTGCATCCTAAGGCATAAACAGTGTATAACAATGTATGTATTATGTATCATTTTGGTGTGTGAGTATTACTAGTGAAAGAAAACAAAGAGAAAACCCTCCTATAGTCTCCCTCCCGTTAGTGGTGCCACTTTGAGCTCTGAAGTTCTTATTCCAAATGTAGCATCAGAGCAGGTCACAACCACTACAGCTTTCTGGACCAGGTAGCAGTCATTTACTCCAATGTAGTTGTAAACAGGTCCACAGAGAGCTTGAACAGAAAAGGGAAGAAAGACATGACCTGGAGGCGGAGCTCCCCTTTGAGCAGTGGGGTGAGAAGGCGGGGCCTGTGAGGAGGAGGAGGGAGGCAGGTGCCCGGAGGGCCCGAGCCTCCTCGGCCGCTGTGCTGGCTGGAGCGGGCGGGGCTGGCGCACATGTCAGACTGGTGTTTGCTCTCAGGTGCCCACTCCGTGCCCGCCCTGAGGCTGAGCCACGTCCTCAGAGGAGCTCTCTGTGTTCCTAAAACACTTCAGACGTAGAGAGGTCTGCAGTGGCGCCGCTGGCCCGGAGGAGGCCGCCCCTTGAAGACAGCCCAGGCTCCAACTCTTATCTCGGCCCCTTCTCTCTCCCTGCCCCATCCCGATTTCACCACCCGTCCTCTTCCTGTTAGAAGTACTCATCCTGGGAGTGCTGGAATCCTCAGGAATCCTGAAGGATTCCATTTAAAATTTAGTTCTGGGTGGCTCCCCTGGGGGTCCAGTGGTTAAGAGTCTGCCTGCCAATGCCGGGGACATGGGTTTGATGCCTGCTTGGAGGAGACCCCCACGTGCCTCGAAGCAACTGAGCCCCGCGCACCACAGCTGCTGAGTCCGCACGCCATAGAGCCTGTGCTCCGTGGAAAGAGAAGCCGCTGCAAGGAGCGGGCTTCCAGGGTGGTGCTCGTGGTAAAGAACCCGCCTGCCGGTGCAGGAGGCATAGGAGATGCGGGTTTGACCCCTGGGTCGGGAAGGTTCCCAAGAGAAGGGAACCCATTCCCGTTTTCTTGCCTGGAGAATCCCCTGGACAGAGGAGCCTGGCGGGCTGCAGCCCATGGGGTCGCAGAGTCAGACAGGACTGAAGTGACTTAGCACACACGCACGCACGCACTGCAGTGAGAAGCCCCCGCACCACAAAGAAGAGGAGCCCCTACCCACCGCAGTTAGGAAGCCCATACACAGCAGCGAAGACCCGGTGCAGCCAAAAGAATAGTAACTTCAGGTCTGGGACAGTGTCTGTCTCCCAGCAGATGCTTAAAGCTGAGAGTTGGCTTCTTTCTGTCCTGTCTCTGGGAGCCCAAAGCCAGGTATACTACATGATCACAGCGGTTGTGGCAACCTTAGGGTCAGTTACCTTTCCCCCCCCCCCCGCTTCCTTTCTTTGGACCTAATTGTTTATTA